GCAGTCTTAACATCTTCCAACACACAAAAAGCAAAGATAAAGCCATGCCTTCCTTAATAAATGAGTTCAAAGTCCTCCAGTCTGCAAACACAGGAGAACTCCCCCCGTGAGAGAGGAGAAAGCATGTGACACAGCTCAGACTTTGTTTCCCCACCCGCTGGTGGCTCCCACGTGAATCCTCCACAGAGCTGCCGCGAAGGCTGGGTCACCGACACCGTGTGAAGCCACCATCAACACTGGAAACGCTGGAGGCTGCCTGTGAACCCACATCTTTCCCTTAAGGACCCTTGGGGTGTGTCAATGGGACTCTCCAGGGGGCCTAGAAATCACAAGGAGCTCGTAACCCAGAGAATCTCCTACACAGTGTTTTCACCTCTGCAGGTTCTATATTCCCACGGGCGGTGTTTCCCAGGTTCCCTGTGTGATGAACGTTGCCCTCCTGCAGATCTGGATGCATTGGTCTAGTCTAGAGTGGGACTCAGGATTTTAACTTTTTCAACAATTATCATAGTTCTTATCTTAGATCCTAGAAGATCCATCCAGACTACCTGCCATCTCTCTCCTGCCTGAATAAGGCCACCTTCCGAGGCTGATTTTCTATCTCTGGGTCCATTCATTTCCTACAACCTGCCCTGGAATAATGACCCCCCCCTTTAGGGAAGACCCACTCATGTGGCCTCTGTCTTCTGCACAGCAACCACACCAGAAGGCCAACAGTCACATCACGTGAGACGTCACAGAGGTCACCTTAACTCCTCCTGTTCCGCTCCCCACCTCTCAGGTGCAAACAGAGTGGACGCATCCTGACCTTCCCCGAGTTCTCATTTACTGAGGCCTGTTTCCCTCGGCCTGCCCCTTTTCTCCTTAACGCATACACTGAATACCAAAGGGACCTTACCTTTGTCAAAAATGGCTTTAGTTTCCGTTGAATTGGTTAATTGGGTTAGTCCCTTAACTGACCCCAGGGAGGATAAAAAATTCACAAGAAAGGGTGTTCGTGGTGTAGAGGCAGCATGGTGTAGAGGGTGCACCACTCCCCTGTGGGTAGTCTCCCTTGCGTTTGCAGACTTCCTTGCTATTTTCTATGAGGTGAGTCATCACGCCATGCAACATCATAGGAAAAGAATCTGGAGTAAGATTTCTTATGCTACTGATAATAAGGTTAAAAAACAAGTAGCACACTTGAGAAGACTCTCAACATTATTAGTCATCAGAGAAATTACCACATGAGTTACCACTTTATACTAGCTACGATGGCTATAGTCATAATTAAAACAAAACAAAACAGAAAATAAGTATTGCTAAGGGTGTGGAAGAATTGGAACTCTCATACATTGCTGGTGGGAATATAAAAAGGTACAACTTCTATAGAAAACAATTTTTAGTTCCTCAAAAATTCAAACTAAAGTTAGCATATGAGCCTGGCTGGTGGGGCTCCATTGGTGGGGCATTGTCCCATGCACCAGGAGGTTGCCAGCTTGATTCCTGGTCAGGGCATATGCCTGGGGCTGTGGGCTGTGATCCCCTGGTAGTGGGCATGCAGGAGGCAGCCAATCAATGTTTCCCTCTCACATTGATGTTTCTCTCCCTCTCTCTGAAAATCAGTTAAAAGATCTTAAAAAAAAAAAAAGCATATGATCCAGCAATTCAATTCCCAGGTATGTACCCAAAAGAACTGAAAACATGTACTCCAACAAATACTTGTACATGGATGTTCATACCTGCATTATTCACAACAACCAAAAGGCAAATACAGCTCAAATGTCCATCAACAGATGAATGAATAAACAAAACTGTGTCGTGCATACAACGGACTATTATCCAGCTCTAAAAAGGAATAAAGCACAGATGCATATTACAATGTGAATAAATCTCAAAAACGTGCTAAATGAAAGAAAGCAGACAAAAAGCTCACATACTACATGACCCCACTTATATGAAATACCCCAAAAAGGTAAATCTATAAAAACAGAAAGCCAGCCCGGCCGGTTTGGCTCAGTGGTTGAGCGTCGACCCATGCACCAAGAGGTCGCCAGTTCAACTCCCGGTCAGGGCACAAGACCAGGTTGTGGGCCCGATCCCCAGTGGGGGCATGCTGGAGGTGACCAATCAATGTTCTCTCTCATTGATGTTTCTAGCTCTCTCTCCCTCTCCCTTCTTCTCTCTCTAAAATCAATAAAGAAAAAAAATTAAAAAAACAGAACACCAATTAGTGGTTGCCAGGGGCGGGGAGGGTGGGAGGGAGGAGGAGAATGGGGAGGCTGCTCAATGGCAATGAGTCTTTATTTTGGAGCGATACAAATGCTTTGCAACTAGAGACAGGCAGAGGCTGTACAACATGTGAATGTTCCAAATGCCACTGAATCGTTCACTTGGAAATGGTTAATTTTATGGTACAGTCATACCCTATAGATATTGCAGGTTCAGTTCCAGACTCCTGCACTAAAGGGAATATTGCAATAGAGTCAAATGGATTTTTTTGTTTCCCAATGCATATAAACATTCTGTTTACACAAAGTACTTTATTTCTAAAAAATGGTAACCATCATCTGAGCCTGTTGAGAAAAATAGTGCTGATGGAATTGCTCCATGAAGGGTTACCACAAACCTTCAATTTGTAAACAAACAAAAACCACATCTGTGAAGTGCAATAAAATGAGGTTAGCCTGCATATGAATTTCACCTCAATTTTTTAAAATGTTAACACAGCCCAGCCGGTGTGGCTCAGTTGGTTGAGTGTCATCCCATGGACTGTGAGGTCCCCATTCGCTTCCCAGTCAGGGCACATGCCCGGGTTGCAGGCTCGATTCCCAGGGAAGGGGGGCGTGTAGGAGGCGGCCAATCGATGGATCTCTCTCACATCAATGCTTCTCTCTCTTCTTTCCTCTCTCTTTAAAAAATCAGTAAAAACATTTAAAAAATAAAAATAAATAAAAAATGTTAACACATATAAGGAAAAATGAAAGATAGAAGAAGTAACAGTAGCAGGTGGGTTTTCAGGTGCTGTCGTCTTTTGGCAGAACCTTGGCAGACAAAGGCTGCGTCTTCCTATGACTAAAGGATTCACACCAGCTCTGCTGCCTGTGGCTTTAGGCCTGAGTGGATGTGTTCGCACCTGGAGACCCCTTTCAGTGCTGTGGCTTCAGGCCCCACCTTGCTGAAGACCGAAGAGACTTGCAGATAATAGGATAAACTTCCCTAATCAGAAGGTCAGACTTACACCTAAGTATTTCTAACAGTTTATTTGGGTTTATTAGAATATAAAAGTAGAATATTTCATTACAAACCCCAACTCAGAGGCATGAAAAGGGCTCTTGATTATATATGAGAACGCATGAATGTTTAAAACGAATTCTACCTAGAAGTTTCAGCTTAATCATTATAAACAAATAACAGCAGAAGGAAGTGGTGATAATCTACCCTCTGTTCTAATTTTAAAATGTGAATAATTAACCTTCCAGGAAAAAGTGCAGAATTTTAAGAGCAGTTCAATCCAATGAATGTCCAGTTTGGAACTCTATGGGCACGGCTGGGGGCAGGCTGGACAGACTGCTGCCCGGATTTATTCAGTAGCAGTTCCCAGGAGACCAGTCATTACTTCAGCTAAACTAAACGCCTTTAAGTTCCGTTTTCAGGCACGTACATGCTGGATAATACTGATTTTTATGGGGATCATGGCTTGTGTAAAAGGCATAAAAAGTTTACATTTTTGCTACATCAAATTTTGTTACCAAAAATGCTAAGTTACTACAAATTTCATATTTTAAAAATCAGTTTCTCCCAGGTAGAACTGCTCATACTTCATGATGATTACTTCTTAAGCTTTAGACCTAGAATTAAATAAATATTTATCATTGTACCCAACCATACCAAAGCTTTTGTTCAGCAGTAGCCTTATGGGAACAAAAGTCAGTGGTGCAGTTTGGCACCGACCAGTTAGAATGCGGAAAGGTACATCTTCCCAGGATGCTTCCGGGGAATCTAGACACCAAAGTGTCCCAAGAAATCTGTTCTTTGCAAGTGTCACTTCACTGTAAGGAGGCTTCTCGGTCAGCAGACTGGTAACAGCCCCAGTGTAAATTACTTAATCACCCTAATTACTTTCTTTCTAAATGAAGGGGGGAAAAGGGATAGAAAGAGGAGGAAGAAGAAGAGGAAGAGAAAAGGAAAGAAGAGGAAGAAGAAATAATAAAGAAATTAGGAGAGCAATCTGGTGTCGCGGCCTCAGAAGCAATTAACATTGGAAGCAGAATGGACCAAGCTAAACATTAACAACCACTTCTGGTTGGCCTTTGACAGCACAGGGCCCTGACGTGTGCCTGGCTTTCAGAAACCACCTAGATGGGCTCAAAACCTACCTCTCCACTGAGAAGCATGTGACCTTGAATAAGTTAATTAACTTCTCTGAGCCTTTTTATTTTTTTCTTCATCTAATAGGAACGATCCCACCGACCACCTAGAAGAGTAGGTCTAAGTGAAATAACCAGCTTAAATGCCTGGCCTGAAGCACTTCGCCTCTCTCGGGGTGTGAAGCCCAAACAGCTTAACCTGTGTAGGGGTTCGGAATGAGTCACCCCAAGATGTGCCTCTGTGGTATGCAGATTATTTTGAGCTAAAGGCAACTGAGATCCTATAACAGAAACTTCTGCCTCTCTCTCCCTTTAACTACCTAGAACACTTGAATTATGGGCCTTGCCCATAAGAAGAAATGATCAGAAATAACCATTTTGTCTACCGATAGGGCAGGGCAAACTACTAATTATGGAGCACCTGCTCTTCTTCTCGTCCTGCAATGACCCTCGGAGGCCCAGGTGCCCCCTCCATCCTTAGCTCAGAATGCCGTATACACCGCATTTTAACTTTGTCCCTGACCCTCTCATGATATTGATGCTGCACCAGGGAAATCAGTACACAGCCGATGTTATTGTATTTTTTATTATAAAAACAAATTAAATAAAATAGTGATCGATTCTATATAAAATTGAAGTGGAGTCCAGAGTTCACGGTGGGGAAGGCTGAGAAGAGGGAGACAAGGATGCGGCTGCAGTAGTTTCTTTCTCTTCGTATCTGGGAGGCAATTCAGATGAGAGATGTGCAGGGATCTCGGAGGACGAAGGAGTCCCAGAAATAGTATATACGGATACACGTGCTCTCTCAGAGGCCGCGCGCTGGCCCTCCGAAGTTGGGGTCCTGCTGAAAAGGGAGAGAGGACATGAAAGGGAGGAGAAGGAAAAAGGAACACACCTTAAGGAGAAGGTTCTTTTTAATTTGCGAGGATCTAGGGAGTAATTTTTTTCACATTCTATTATTTATAGCTATGTTTCAATTCCGTGCCCCTTACTTTCCTTAGAGCTGATTGTAACAAGGAGACAATCTCACTCCTGTTGTCATGTCCTTTGTCACCAAAAACACATGGAGTACCAAGTGCAGGTGCCATCCAAAAAGAACACCACACAGTCGTTCTCCACTATTCTGTCTTCTGAGGCAGCTAACCTAAGGTAGAGGAACTTATGCAAACAGAAAATAGAATCATTATGTCAAAAACTTGAAGGAAGCAGGAGGGTATACTCATTGCTGGAGGGGGCTTTAGCAACAGGCAGACCTGCCTCTGAATTTCCATTCTGCTACCTTCTGTGTGCTCTCTCAGCCTCAGTTCCTCATCTGTGAAATGGGAATAGGTGCAGACCTCCTGGAACTATGAGAATTACATAAGGTAATGCAAGAAAGCCAGGCTGGCATACAGAAATCATCATAGCAGCAGGAGTAGTTTTATGTTTTGTTTTTTGTGTGCATTTTTTTTAAGTTAACGGATATTTATTTTAGGGCTTAGAGAAGCCCGTCATTGGGGAAAAGAGTAGAAAAAGTCACTAACGGAAGTCTGCAAACATCCAGCCCCTAACCTCCCCTTCACCCATGCAGGGCGACACCTACGCATCTCGTCGGATCTCCGTCAGGAGTCTGAGGCACAGGAACCTGCGCCCCGGCGGTGCGCGACTGCAAGGCAGCCCCGTCCCGCTCCCCGCGCCCCCGGGCCTGCTTCTCCCTGCTTTCAAATGCCGGTCTCAGTGTCTCCGAGGCCGGTTCACACTGAGTCCTGCTCATCCACTCACCTCGCCCTGTGAAATCTTCTAGAAACCCTTCTTTCCCTTCCTACCTCCTGGTTTCCCATTTGAGAAGGTCCCAGAGCCTTTGCAGCCCTGCTCCCCCCTGGCACTGCCGGAGCCGGCCTTCAGCGCCTGCCCTGTGGATGCGCCGCAGGCCGGGACCGCTGCCCTCGCGGTTTCAGCGGCCTCTTCCCAGCTCCAGCTCCGCAGGACCCCGCCTCGCGTCTACCCGAAAGGCCGGCATCGCGATGGCCCTCCACCACAGGCCAGCTCCCCATCCCCCCTCCGCCTGCAGGGCACGCTGTCCCTGCCACTCCCCCTAGACCTGATGATCCCCGCTCTTCCTCTGTCCTCTCCATCCAGGTTCCCTCGCACACTCCGCCCCTGCTCATCACCACAGGTCTGGCTCCTGTTACCTGGGCCTGGCCCTGGGACTCCGCCCCTCACCGGCCTGGCCAGCACCAGCCCCTTCCCATGGGAACTGTGCTAACTGACCTCTGACCCCAGAACCTTCCACGGCATTGCCCTGCCAAAGGAAAAGCATAGGTTTCTGCTGTCTGATCTGACCCCAGGTAAGCCTCCTAGTGTGTGGCCTGTGGGAGCAGGGGGTTGGGGGGATCCTATCTGTCTGTCAATCTGAGAAGGCTCTGAGGCCCAGGGAACAACTTAACATTGAAGGGAAAATGCAGCTTGGTCAGGTCTGGGTGCGGGTGACATTAGCCGGTCACTCAAGTACCTCCGTTAGATATGAACACTCTCTGTACCTGTTGGAGGTCCCCTGGGAACCCACCACACCTCCCTACAATGTAACGCAGCAAGCAGGGGGCCTCCTGAGCCGTGCTCAGTGCTCAGTGTGGCTGAGGGGTTGTTAAACAATCTGAGGGTCACCCCTGCTAGGAGCACAGAAAAGGGCCTGGAGAAGGCCACCCTGACCTGGCACAGCCACTTTCACAATTGTTAACTTGTGTGCTGCGCAGTGTTTCCTGAAAGGTGCTGTTAACATCAAGGCAATAATGCTGACACGATGTCACACTCTGACGTTCACTCCTGTACTGCAGCCTTAAAGCTAATTTGGCCCGAACTGAGGTATAGGCCTGGAAAAGTGAAAATGTTACTCTTGGAGTTCAAATGGAAAGTCTTACCCATAGTTAAAAATACTGTAGTATGAAGGTGGACTTTCATTTGGAAGCAAACCATCCGCCCCAGGACTTCGAGTTACTGCAGAGGCGGGAGACTCAGGGAAGTAAGGTGGCGGAGGGGGCGGGAATATTATCACAGCATCACCTAAGGAAACACAATATTTTGTTGAAGATAAATGAGTAATAAGTGCAAACAAAAGAGCAAGCGCAAAATAAATTCATTACATATTTGGCCCATCTATAGAAATGGTCAAAATGCCAACTCCAGAATCAAAACATGGGCTGAGCAGATTTAGAGAGACAGAAGGTAGAGGTCACCAGGGGCTGGGGCAAGGGGAGCTGGAGCTGGTGTTTAACGGGTGCCAGGTTTCTATTTGGGATGATGAAAAAGTTCAGGAATTGATCGTGGTGACAGTTGCACAACATTGGGAATGCACGTAATGCCCCTGTACACTTAAAATGGTCAAAATGGTCAATTTCATGTTAGATATATTTTACAACAATTAAAAAAAAATAGTGTGACTACACACACCAATGAGTGGCAGGTTCGATTCCGGTCAAGGGCACGTACCTCTGTTGAGGTTTGTCCCTGGCCCTGATCAGGGTCACACGGGAGGCAGCCAGTCAATTTGTCCCTCTCATGTTGATGTTTCTCTCTCCCTCCCTCCCTCCCTCCCTCCCTCCCTCCCTCCCTCCCTCCCACTCTATCTGAAGATAAATGGAAAAATATTCTTGGGTGAAGATTAAAAAAAAATAGTGGGCCTACCCCTGCCTGGTTTGGCTCAGCGGTTAGAGCATTGGCCTGCGGTCTGGAGAGACCCAGGTTCGGTTCCCGCTAAGGGCGCGTACCTCGGTTGCAGTTTGTCCCTGGCCCTGGTTGGGTCGTGTGGGTGGTAACCACTCGATGTGTCCCTTTCACATCGATGTTTCTCTCTCTCTCTCCCTCCCACTCTATCTGAACAAACTATCAAAAAATGTCCTCAGGCGAAGATAAAAAAAAAAAAAATAGTGGGCCTATATATATCATTGCAAGTCTGAGCTGAAGCACTTCAGTGAAGCTTTTCCTAACAACATACCTCCCTGGGGATGTCTACATCTTTAAAGCTTTTCTTGTTTTTAACTTAGAATTTTAATTCATCAAAAGTTTGCTGTTGGATAAAGTGCCTTGTTCCTCAAATGCAGTTTCACTTCTGAACAAATGACAATCAGCTACCCTACAGCTTGTCATTGTTATTGCCATAGCTGTAGTTTACGCCCTTGTAGAGTCTTTAACCTGCCAACACCTCACCCAAGCTTCACAAAACAAACTCAGACTCAAAGGAACGCTTGTTTTTAGCATTTCCAGCACACACTGGTGTTTGGGGGAGGAGAAACGAGGGGCCAGATGCACACCCTAATCTGTGTTCCGATTCCCGTACAAAATGCACCACGTGAGCCGCCCAGAGCATTCTAGCCAAGAGGCAGGCACCGCTGCACAGAGGTCTGAGGGCAGCCTGGAGAGGTGGCAGCACCAATGACAGCTTGGGAAAAGTGAAGGAGGAGAGGGGACCTCTGAGCTGAAGGAGCTGGGTTTGCACGGGGCGGCAGGGCTAACACTTGCCTGGGTAGGGACAGGATTCTTTAGAGCTCCCAGGTTCCATTTGCCAGTCACAACCCAGAGTGGCCCTGACCACGTTATTTAACCCCTAGGCCTCGGCCACAGTGCATAGGTGGGAAGATTGGATTCGTGTGTGGCCGTTGAGACAGTGCTGGGCACACAGAGAACCCTCTCAGCTGTTTCACACCCTCACAGCGGCTTTCTCCACACTGCCAGCCAGTGGCACTTATTTGCACATCTGAAGAAACACCCCCACCTGCAGTCTTGGCCAGTGGTTCCACTCTCCCCCTTGTGCCTCGAGAACTTCCAGGAAGGTAACTGAGCCCTTCAGAAAGTGAAGTGACTCCATTGCTCCTAGCTGTGAGAGCTTACCTTGCTAACCTAAACTTGATAAAACATAAAGATTGCCCTTTAATTTATTTCAGAAGGTCTTGGTAGGTCAGAGGAAGTAAAAGGTTAAGTGTTCGCTTTAATTACACATTGTAGAACGTGGGACCTGGGAATGAGTCTCTAAAGGAGGCCAACCACCTATCAAACACAAACAAGGAAATGTGCAAAGTCAACAGTTATCTCTGGGGCTTGTCCATCCTGCCCAGTCAGCTCCCAGCCCCCTACACTTTGTAATCTGCTTTCACCAGGAAAGAAGTTCCATCTCCCTCTGGGCTTTCCCTTTCACTAGGTCCTGCAGGACTTGGTATATCCTCTGAGACTTGACAGCATATACCCGTCAAGGGAGGGCTATCTCCTCCACTTGCTTGCACGTCCAGGGTCTAGCACCGAGTGTGTCCACAATGAGGATATCATTGGTTTATCTACTGGAGGGTGGGAGAGACTTCCATCCTGGGAACAGCTGAATTCTGAGACTTAGCCAAGAACTGCCTCTTATCGCCCTCGTAGGACAGAACTGATTATTGAGAGACAATGTCTAGAGTCTTATCAATTGTACTAAAAGTCATGATTTCTAAAAATTTAAAGGCTGTCCCATAATATCAGAGGAGAGAAAAACAAGAAGTTAGGATGCCAGATTTTCACAAGTTTGATGGAACTTAGAGGGTTAAGTGGAAAAATTTTTAAGATTTTAAACTATGCAGTGCCAACATCAGGACAGAACTGCCCAAGGGTTAGAGCCCCACTACCCCACCCCACATACACACACACATTCCAGCCACCAGGACGGAGGCCGCCCTGATACTCCCTTGATAGCAAATCCAAAGGGCACAACTCAAAATGTGCTCAACTAAGTGGAAGACTGTGCATCCCCTGAGTGTGTTCACCTGGACCCCATGGTGCTCCCCAAAAGGACTGAGAACCATCTCTATTGGGTGAGCCTTTTTGTCATGTGACAACTACCCAGAACACTAGGTGAAGATAAAACCAGCAGAAACAGGATTACAGCCCAGTGCCCTGGGGTAGGTGCTATGCAAGGGCCATAGTATATGCGTGGGTTTGGATCCTGGCTCTGCCACTTGCTACTTTGTGACCTTGGACAAGTTATTTGATATCCCTGGGCCTCAGTCTCTTCATCTCTAACATGGGCATAATAAGAGTATCTGCCTCAGTGGGTCACGTGGACAAGAAGGAATTTCACACAATAGGCCCTTCAAGAGCACATGCTGAAGTACTTAGATGGGTGCTGGCACAAGAATAAACTTTACATATGTGTCAACTGTTATTAATAACTAATATTTGTGTTGTCGCCATAAGTATATAAATACACAAAGAAGTAAGCTGAAAGCATCAAACTGGCTCAGTGCAAGGACTGTAAGTCCATCTGTCCCTCCTCTCTGCGGACGGTGCCCTGCAGGGCCCCCAGCCCAGGGCCCGCCCCAGTCTGTGCTCAGGAGCACGGTGGCTCTGCAGACAGCCCCGAACTGGAGGAACATCTCCCTCACCACTCTCCTTGTTCCCTCCACGGGTTCGGCTCTGTGATTCTCTTTGCCTAGCCTTTTAGATGTCAAGGGTGTGGCTTCAAAGCTTTATCCTTTCTTAAGTGGGAGGCTGGACAAAAACACACAGTAATTGGCAAAAATGAGTAGTGATGGGGTTTTTCCTTGGGTCTGTGAAGCTGAGGCCAAAGTTACCGATGTTGTTCTTTGGGGGTTGACTCTGGGAAATGGTAATCCATCTATTCAGCAGAACCCAAGGGACCCAAAAGGAGTTTCTAGGCATTCTATGGGGGAAATAAGTGACAGGTGTTGTCACATTTCATCTTCATTGATGCCACTGCTTCCAAACTTCGCCCTAATCCTGAAGTTACAGAAAATAAAGGACCCTCAAAACAGAAGACCAGTGGACATGGGACAGACTCAGAATCCTGGAATGTGGCGCTGGAAGGAATCTCAGAAATGCAATACTCACTTTATAGCTATATAACCCAAGGCCACAAGAGCGTAAGGGCTTACCAAGGACAGTCAACCAGTGACAGTCAGGGATGAGAACTCACATGTCCAACAATGCAAAGTGCCACAAGTTTCAGTGTGAGAATAACATGGGAAAGAGGGCTGCTTGGTAGGTCTCTTAGGTGACAGAGGAGTTGCAGACTGCCCTTGAGGTCATTTTCACTTTCCTCTTACTTTGCTTGGTGACTTCAGTCAAGGTCACCACTTAATGTCCCAAAGCTTTTGCTAAATAATCTGGAATTACTGGGGCAAAATGATGTGTACAAGGACTCTGTGGGGCTTACCACAGCAGCACTGTGTATGTGTGTCTCCAGTGGGGGTGGAGGGAGAAAGTGAATGTAGGCCAGACCCCAGGGCAGCCCAGTGAAGCCCAAAGCAGCAGCCACTGTGATATGAGCACGCACAGGAATGACAGCCACCTACCTACAGTGACCTGGACAGGCTCCGTGTTCTGGGTCTGTCTCTCTTCACTTTCAGAGGCATTCTGGCCCTCGTTCAAGTTGTTTCTTTTCTTAACGTGGGCAACCACGAAGAAACACAATCCCATGAGCACAATCAAGGGTCCCATGATCTGCAGGGACAGGAATCCACAGATCTGGGGCTCCCCGTTGGCAGTATCTGTCTCATTCAGTGGTTCTTGCTCCCAGTCTGAGCCACAGCCAGGGACCCAAATGCCCAGTATGCTGATGAGCATGCCGCTGGTCAAGAATAGAAATCCAAAGATGAGGCACTGGGCAAACTGGCGACTTTCTCCGCAGATGAAGGGTCGGTCAGGCTCCTCCCGACTGCCTCGATGGCGCCCCTGCCGGAACTGAAGTAGTGCCCGGGAGCGGGCCAGGATCACGGCCCCAAGCCCAATGGCAGCACACGCAGGCCCAGCGACCTTCAGCACCATGCTGCAGTCTGGGAGGGGTTTGTATTGGCATGCCTGGAACCCAAAGATGGAGAGCAGGACTCCCACAAACAGCAGGATGGCACCGAAGACAAAAAGGAAGAAGATGAGCATGCTGACATGCCTGTCTCGCTGGACCCCATCTGGTTCAGCTGCTGCAGGAGACATGGCCAGAAGAGACCCCTTCCCCGGAGAGGGGTGGGGTGTGCTTCCTTCCCTCCAATGGTGTCAACAGCTCTGCAAAGAACCAAACACCAAATTAAAGTAGGCACAGGTGTTTCTGACCCACCCTGTTCTTTTGCTGGCCATTTCAGAAATCATCCCAGGATGAAATCATCGGGAATAGAGCTTTATCCAACTGATACTCTGTGGAACAATGAGTTGGTTTATGAGTCAGAAGGACTGGCATTCAGAAACTCCTGAATATTTAATTTTATGAAGATATTCAAGAAAAGGAGATGCAATTACCAGGCACCTAAGAGTATCTCTAAAAAAATGAAACTTCTTACAGGGATGTAAAGTACAGCATAAGGAATATAGTCAATAATATTGTAATAACTGTGTATGGTGTCAGGTGGTTACTAGACTTATTGGGAAGATCATGTCATAAATCATATAGTTGTCTAACCACAATGCTGTACACTTGAAACTAATATAATATTGAATATCAACTGTAATTTAAACATTTTTTTTTAATTTTTAATAAAAATCTTTTTAACCATATAACAAAAGTAACTGGGTGTGGCTTTTCCTGTTCTGAGTCTTACCAACTCAGTCCTCCAGGCAAACAAACAATGGTGAGTGAGGGAAGAACCACAGGGACTATTTTTGATTTACAGACATCCCACATTTCATCACAGCTGCTCTGAGCATTTCCATGTCAGTAAATTTTTGTTCAGTAACTAACTTTCCATTTCCTGTTTTAGACCCGCAGCAACTTTCCATTCCATGCTTCATTCTAAGGCCTCATCTACAGGAGAGCCGAGTTCAGCAGTTTCAACCGAAGGGGAAAAGCTCAGGAACTCAGTGGGTTTGATGGGTATTAAGTTAATTCTGGCAAAATGAAATTCTTGAGTCCTCACTCAGGGGCTGTTTTGGCCTGAAACCTGGTGTCCTGGCTGCTGGGACCTGGGATGAACCAAGCAAGCGTGGCATAGCAGGTGAGGTGGACCTTGTCTCCCAGGTGGCCAGGCAGCCGTTCACACCCTCCTTTGTGGCGCCACCCACTTCCACAAAGAGACTTAGGCTGTTAAAAATAAGCAGCTGATAAAATCACCAGTTACAATGCACTAAATAGCAATAGAACTTGACTTTGAAAGAAGAGTATAAGTGAAATCAAGTGGGAAAGCACTTTCCACAAGATCACCCAAGCCCTGTTCTTCAAGTGTATCGCATATTAAATAACCCGGAGCACTTGTTAAAGAGTGGTCTAGTTTACGCAGACTGACTTTGTTATCCAGTTATCTTGTTTACTCTAATGAATGGGATATTCAAGTTGGGGCACTCGAAAAGACCATCGGAGTGTGAAGACTGTCTTCATTGCTCCAGGAAAGAAAAACTTAAAAAACATCTTGCGCCACTTGCATCCATGGTCACAGGAAGGAGCTCAAGGCTGAGGCTCTAGCACCAAGGCCATCTTGACAAACCCAAATTATGACCAAGTAGGGTCAGTTTAGGTAAAGAAAGCAAACAGCCTGTCTTATAGGAGGAAGTAATTTTCCAGGAAAAAGTATGATAGAATCAAAAGGAAGTTGAAGAAAGAAGGAAATGTAGAAGGGAAATAAGTTTTCATTTTTAAACTCAAAGGAACTATATGAAGATGCAGTTAAACTGATACAAATACTTCAAGTATTGCATGTATATATATATATATATAATCATTATTTTTTTAAATTTCTGAATCATGTAATCCCTTTTGCTGGTTCCAGAGATAAGGTGACTCTGCTACAAAGTCCTATCAGGAATTCACTGTATTCCTGACACCTTCAAATTTGAAGTGAGTCACAGGCTTCAACCTTCTGAAGACAAATTTTCAAATACCAGTAAAGAAAATAGACGCCAAAAACTGCATTTGTAGCTTCTTTTCCATGGCCTAGTGGATTAATATGTGTTAATCCCTGATGCAAATAGTGTGGGGGTAGTCGGTCAGTCAGTCTGTCCATTCTCTATCGTGCATGAACCCACGATCGGACACATAGACATCTACACTAATAGAAAATGAAATATTTTCCAAATACCAACCTACACTTAATTTCCCAAAGCCAAATTCGCCTCCCTAACACTCGATCCATTTTCCAAATCAGCGGCACCTAACTACATCCAAAATCTCCTGTGCATTTGGGATCCAGGCAAATGTCTTTTATGGGAAATTAGCTTCGTGGGTTTTCGGGAGCCGGAGCGGCTGGGCGCGCAGCCCCCACCCGCACAGGTGAGCGCGCGGTCCTTGGCGCTGGCGCGGACCCTGGCACCAGGCTCCGGCGGAAACGCCCGGACGCGGAGACGCGCGAGGCCGGGAGCCGCTTACCTGCTTCGTCCTGCGTGCGCGCTGCCTGCGCCGGGGCGCTTCTCGGGAGCCTGGCTCTGGCCTCGGGGCGGGCGCTCGGCGGGGCAGCGCTGGCCCTGGGCAGCGGGCTGGGCGCGGATCCACGCCGCACACTCCCACCTGCCCGTCCAGGGGCGGAGGCGGGCCGCCACTGTATTTACTGGAGGAGGCGGTGCCGGGGGGCGGGGGGGCGCCCAGGGGGACGGCGAGCGGAGCAGGGCAGACTGGCAGGAGCTGGCTGCCACCGGGTGCTGCCCTTCTGGGGCGGAAGCGCGCCCAAGGCTGGGAGTGGAGAGCAAAGGGCGGCCTCGCGGCTCAGGGCTGGCGGACCCGGCAGCTTCCGAGCCGGTGACCGTGCGCGCGAGAAATCCGGGGGGGAAAGAGCGCACCTGCCGCCTCCCTGGTCTGCAGCCTTGGGGTGTCGGGGTGGCGAGGTGAGGTTCTCCCCCTGGTTGTCTGAACTGCGCGCTGCGCCAGCCGAGATCCCGGCAGCGGGAAGGAGCCGGTTTCCTTCGGGTCTGGGTTCCAGGATTCGGGGGAGGGGGCGTATGGGGTCCCCACCGTCCCGCCACGACACCCGGGAAGGGTCCACCCAGTGGCCCTGTGGCCCTCCTTCCGTTCCGCAGACTTTGACTTGGGGTCACGGGAGCACGTCCTTCGCTGAGAGCTCCCGGACGAACAGGTTAGGGAGATACCAGATCACAGAACCGTGCGCGCCAGGAGAATGTGGGGCGAGGGTCCTCCATACCCGAGCCGGTCGTACGTGTGGTCCTAGCTCTGAGACTGCCTGACGCTGGCCCCTGCTGTCTCCGTGCCGGGTCAGCTCTCCCTTCTGCGCCCACAGGTGTGCTCACAGCCCTCCTTGACCCTCGAACCCCTTTCCCAGTTCTCACTCGCTAATGATCTGCTGGAATTGAACCGGTAACTTTCCCTGCCCTTGAACCAGAAGTTTCGGGATGGGTTTGCTAATCCCCTGTGCTATTTGTAACCTGCCCCATGACACGTGACTCGGATTCAACTGGGAGAGTTTCCACATTGGAGGTCAGGGCGCTGTGGAAGGTGAGTAAGGGCTCAGCCCAAGCTCCAGGAGCCCTGGGGACTTTCCCACCCCCGCCACTTCTCCCTAGCTTCCTGTCCACTTTGCCTGAAACCCAGCCATAAGATAATGCCAATTACATTAACCTTTTTAAAGAACAAACACTTAGCATACCTAATATAGTAAGTTGTTCCCAGTAGGTCTCACTGAGGGTAAAGAATGAGTTGGGTTTTAGCTAATAACCAGAGGTGAGGAGACTCTCAAAGAAGGGGTCAGAGGGAGGCAAAGAGGGAAGGCTATTAGCTGGGCTCTGAGGACTGGACACCTGAGTGGTGAGACACGACTTCACCAGGGAACCATACTGGACAAGTTACAGTGTTGGCATTTGCTGGGGACACTTGCCTGTGGCCAAAGGTGGTCTTTTTCAAAGGTCAGCTGCCCTGGCCTCTGCAAATATCTTCCCTAACAAAATAAAGAGTGTTGGCTATGAAGAATTCTAACCTTGTGACCCCATGGTCCTGCCAGGTTCTATGTTACTGCCTTTACCTGCAGCCTATGGCTCTTTACTGTCTGTTTCCAGACCTCAGAGCAACTTGGGGCCAGAAGGCAATAGGGGAGTACGAATAGTCATTCTTTGTTGTTGTTGTTGTTGTTTTATATCACCTGAGGATATTTTTCCATTTATCTTTAGATAGAGTGGAAGGGAGGGAGGGAGAGAGAGAGAGAGTTAGGGAAAGAGAAACATCCATGTGAGAGAGAGACATCGACTGGTTGCCTCCTGCAGGACCCTGACCAGGGCCGGGGACTGAACCGCAACCGAGGTATGTGCCCTTGACCAGAATCGAACCTAAGACTCTCTGGTCCTCGGACCAACGCTCTAACCGCTGAACCAAACCAGTCAGGGCAATAACCGTTTTTCAGTTGAGAAAACCAAGGCCTAAAGTTAGTCCACAGCTGGTTAATGTGAACCCGATGTACTGACTCTTCATCGTTCCTGCTGGGTACACCTGTCACCCAGGGCACACGCCATACCACACACTTACATGGTTTTGTGATCGTTATAACAACACAGACACTGTGTCCCGAGGACATTGCAGCAATTCGTTTCGAGGGTGGAGCTAATCCTGGTCAAAGTGTCAGGGTATACCACCCTCTGGAAGGGCCTCAGAGGACATCTGGCTAACAAGCAGGTAACCAGCAGGAGGGCACCCCAGCAGCGGGCGCTGGCCTTCCTAGGACCGCAGACCCTGGACTGTAGAGTTGCCCTTTCTACACGGGCCTGCCTATGATTCCTTGTACAGGAGGACTTCTGTCTCTTCTTACTCATTCTTTCCTTCTCCCTCATTTAAAACTCAGTCTCCAGTCATGTTGTATGCGGACTTGCAAGGGGCCTGTTGATACAGCTGCCCCTCTGGTGCCACATGACTGCGGGCTGGCCACACATGACAGACTTGAATGTACTGGCACCAAGGACAATCAGATTAGCTTCCACTTGGAATATCTGCTGTTTGGACTGTTTGTGTCTTTTGGAGCCCGTTTGACTAAATTAAATTCCATGGAAACCAGTCATGGGTCAAGTAGGAAAGACAT